TATCGAAGACTATCCCCTGCCCGCAAAGTTCAAAATACCGTCCATGAAGTCTTACGACGTGACCACGGATCCGGAAGATCACCTGTTCGCGTTCCTGACTCAGATGCGCCTGCAGACAGCTGCTGACGCGGTCAGGTGCAAGACCTTTCCGATGTTCCTGGAAGGAAAGGCCCGGCAGTGGTTCCAGGGGTTGCCCCCCAGGTCGGTTAGGTCGTTCGGCCAGCTCGCGCGGTTGTTCGTGGCTCAGTTCGTCTCCTCGCGTGCTTTTTCCAAAACCACGGCTCATCTGATGACTGTTCATCAAGGGCCCGAGGAGTCATTGCGCGAGTACATGGTGCGCTTCAACAACGAATCCCTCCAGGTACGGGATCGGGATGACAAGGTTGTGATGGCTGCCTTTGTCAATGGGCTGCGCAAGCAGAAGCTGTATACGGAGTTCGTGGAAAAACCTCCCAAGTCCGTTCGGGAGATGCTAGACCGAGCTCACGAGAAGGCGAATGCCGAGGAGGCCAACCGATTGAAAGGCGCTCAGGAGAAGCTGCGTGACGACAAGCGCAGGAGGGGTGCCGACCTGGGAGAGTCGCGACCAGGTCAGGCACGGAAGAGCGTACCCGAGCGCTTACCTCGGAGCCGACCTTGGGAGAAGGAAAAGGCTTGGACTTCGCTCACCGCGCCCCGAGCTCGGGTTCTCGCCGTAATGGAACAACAGGGGATCTTGCGCCCTCCTCGGCCACTGGCTGGGGACAAAAACCAGCGCGACCAGGGTTTGTACTGTGCTTACCACAGGGACGTCGGGCACGATACTGAGGATTGCAGACACCTCAAGAAGGAGATTGAAAAGCTGATACGGAGAGGCCACCTCGGGCAGTTCATCCGTGACGGCTGAGCCGATCAAAAGCAAGGGGGGTTCAACCGAGAACGGGCGACTAGCTCGCGCGACCGACCTCGGGGTCCCCGTGATCGAACTCCGGAGCAGGGGGTTCAGAATCTAGCTGGGGTAATCAACACTATCGCAGGGGGACCTGTGGGGGGAGACAGTCATACGGCTCGGCGAAACAACCGGCCTTCCCCCAGTGGGGAAAGCTCTAACAAGCGTTTAAAGATGTACGAAGAGATCATCTATGGGCCGGAGGACGCGGTACCCCTAGCCTCCAATAACCATGAAGCGATTGTAATAGAGGTCATCACGTGTAACTACAAGGTAAAGAAGGTATACATCGACAATGGGAGTGCCATCGATGTGCTATACTACAAAACCTTCAAAGAGTTGCAGCTGGAAGATAAGCAGCTCATCCTCGTCCGAACTCCTTTAATAGGTTTTGCAGGTCCGCCGGTAAGGCCCGAGGGAATGATAACCCTCATGGTCACTGTAGGGGAGTAGCCGAAGTGCCGAACTGTCCCGGTGAATATCGCGGTGGTAAAGGAGCCATCCTCCTACAATATGATACTTGGGCGACCAACCCTAAACGTGCTCCGAGCTGTCTGTTCGACTTTGCACCTTAGCATGAAGTTCCCCACGCCCGATGGAGTGGCCGAGGTGCTGGGAGACCCGGAGGTAGCTCGGGCCTGTTACATCGCAACCCTCAAAGGTAAGGAGAAGATGGTGGCCCAGACAACCTGTTTGGAACCCTGGGAGCCTGCTGAAAAGGAGGAAAGGATGGAGACAGATGAGAGTCTGGTCGAATTGCCCATCTGCACCGAGCGACCCGATCGCGTGGTGAGGGCCGGAGCTGGCCTAAGCGAGCCGACACGGAGAGCTCTGGAGTCTCTACTGGAGGAATACGCTGAGATCTTTGCTTGGAGTGCTGACGACATGCCCGGAGTTCCTCCCGAGCTGGCAGTTCACAAGTTGCACGTCGACCCGAGCCTCCGGCCAGTGAAGCAAAAGAAGAGAAACTTCGCTCCTGAGCGCAACGAGGTCGTCAAGGAGGAGGTAGGCAAGCTGTTGGAAGCCAGAATTGTGAAAGAGATCTACTATCCGACCTGGCTGGCTAACCCTGTGTTGGTGAAAAAGGAAGACAGAGCTTGGCGGATGTGCGTGGACTTCACCGATCTGAATAAAGCTTGTCCGAAGGACTGTTACCCCCTCCCCTGCATCGACCAGCTGGTCGACTCAACTACTGGATACGAGATTTTCTGCTTTTTGGATGCCTTCAAAGGGTATCACCAGATAGCTCTGGACGAGAAGGATCAAGAGAAGACTGCCTTCATCACCGAATACGGCACGTATTGTTATACCACCATGCCATTTGGATTGAAGAACGCTGGCGCGACCTATCAGCGACTGGTCAACAAGATGTTCAGGAACCAGATCGGCCGAAACATGGAGGTATACGTAGATGACATGCTGGTAAAAAGCCGAACTCAGGAGCAGTTCATTAGCGACCTCAGGGAGATCTTCAACGTCCTGCGGAGCTCGCGGATGCGGCTGAATCCCAAGAAATGCACTTTTGGGGTCAGGTCGGGCAAGTTCCTTGGGTAGATGATATCCAAGGACGGAGTAAGAGCTAATCCCGACAAGATAAAAGCTATAATGGACATGGCTCCACCTCGAAATATAAAAGAGGTCCAACGGCTAGCTGGCAGGATGGCTGCCCTGAACAGGTTCTTGTCGAAATCTGCAGTTCGGGGTTCCCCCTTCTTCAGAGCACTGCGAAGAGGCCCCCAGTTTGAGTGGACACCCGAATGCCAACGAGCGTTTGACGAACTAAAAGCCCACATCGCTCGGTTGCCGGCCTTGACCTCTCCCGCACAAGGAGAGACCTTGTTTATTTATCTGGCCGCGGGGGAGGAGGCAATCAGTGCGGTACTAGTTCGGGAAGAAGGCAAAATTCAGAGGCCCGTATACTATGTCAGCCGAGCTCTGTAGGGCGCGGAGCCAAGGTACACCTCGGTTGAGCAGTATGTTTTGGCATTAGTTCACGCGGCCCGGAAGCTCAGGTCGTATTTTCAAGCTCATCCCGTGGTCGTTATGACCGATCAGCCTCTCAAGCAAATCCTTTCAAAGCCTGATGCATCAGGAAGAATGGTAAGATGGGCTGTGGAGCTGTCCGAGTACGATCTCAGCTACCATCCTCGCACGGCCATTAAGGCCCAAGCATTGGCAGATTTCATAGCTGAAGGGGTTTCCTTTGGACAACAGGGATCGCAGGTCGAGCTGACCGGAAACGCAGCCAAGGCCGAGCAGGCCGGAGGAGTTGCCAAGGTCGCGCAGGCCGCAAAGTCCGGACCGACCCAAGACGCAGCTGAGGCTCGGCGGGCCGGAGAAGCTGTCGAGGTCATGAAAGGCACTAAGACTTCCGAGGCCGAACAGACCGTAGGTGCAGTTGAGGCCAAGCAGGCCGAAAAACCTGCCGTGGTCATACAGGCTACTGAGGAAGCCGAGGATAGGTTGAGCACAGCGGAGGCCGAACAGGTCGGAAATGCTGTGGAAGTCGGCCAAGACGCCGAAAAGGCAGATCAGTCCATCCCGACCTGGACGCTGTTCGTGGATGGATCTTCAAGCAAGGAAGGATGCGGAGCAGGGCTTCTCTTGACTAGCCCTATGGGGGATGAACTGGCCTACGCCTTGAGGTTTGATTTCAGGGCCTCTAACAACGAGTCCGAGTACGAGGCCCTGGTCGCGGGGATGGAGATAGCTCGGAAATTGGGGGCCGAGTCAATAGAAGTCTACAGCGACTCACAGATGATAGTAAACCAGGTCGGGGGGAGTTACGAGGTTAAGGAAGAGCCCCTGAGAAGGTACGTCGCCAAAGTGCATGAGCTGAGAGCTCAGTTCAAATTATTCACGCTCAAGCAGGTCCCGCGAAGCCAAAATAAGAGAGCGGATGCTCTGTCCAAGCTAGCTTCCACCTCGGTCGGTACGTTGAACAAAGAAGTCTTGGTGGAAATCGTCAGAAATCGGGCGTACGACCAGGTAAACGCTTCTGTTATTCAAATAACGAGCTCATGGATGGATCTCATCGTACGGTACCTAGCAGCGAAGAGCTCCCTCCAAGCCGGGTGGAGGCGCGAAGGGTCATCCTCAGGTCGCGGGGATACGAGCTCTCGAATGGGGTACTTTACAAGAAATCCTACCTCCGCCCGTGGCTGAGATGCGTAACTCCAGAGGAAGGAGACTACATCCTGCGTGAGTTGCATGAAAGTATCTGTGGAAACCACGTCGGTCCAAGGGTTTTGGCCAAGAAATGAATGCTGTCTGGGTACTACTGGCTGACCATTTTCTTGGATTCTGCCGAACTGGTGGCTCGGTGCAAGTCCTGCCAGCTGCATGCGCCGATCCATCACGCCCCAACTCAGGAGATGATCCCTCTTCAGAGCCCTTTGCCTTTCTTCCAATGGAGAATCGACCTGCTGGGTCCGTTTCCCCGAGCTCCTGGGGGTTATCAGCATGTGGTGGTGGCCATAGATTAATTCACCAAATGGGTGGAGGCCGAGCCCCTTACCACCATTAGCAGCAGGTCGGTGCAGAAGTTCCTCTGGAAAAACATCGTTTGCCGATTTGGTATACCCCATGTACTGGTCTCAGACAACGGGCACCAGTTCGCTGACGGCGCTCTCCAAAGCTGGTGCTCGGAGCTCGGAATCCGGCAGCACTTCACCTCGGTAGGCCACCCTCAAGCAAACGGGCAGGTCTAGAACGTCAACAGAACCATCCTGCAAGGCTTGAAGACGCGGATGGAGTTCGCCCGAACTGGGTGGCTGGACGTAGGGGTGGGCAAAAATACCCGCTGACCCGAAAACCCGAGAGATCCGATCCGATCCGATCCGAAAAATAGGATACCCGATCCGATTTCTCTCAGCGGATCAGATAGGGTCGGGTACCCGGAATATTCGGATACGGATACGGATCGTAAAAGCAAAAACCCGCGGGTACCCGACCCGGGGTATATTATGTAACTATTAAAAAATATAGGGGCAATTTTATAATTTTATAAGTTATTAACCCTAACCTAAAGAGTTCAGCCGACATTCTGATCTAGTGCAACATAATTTGCCTGTGTTCATCCTCTGTCTAGGCAATCCCTTTGCCGCTCCTGATCTGATCTTGAAGCCTTGCCTCCATCACTCCATGGTTAGACTCGCCGCTAAAGCCTTCCCTCATTTTCCCCTGCTGAAAATCCTCCATCCGCGGCTCCGCCCTTTTGTTTATGTTCTTTACTCCGGGAAAATTGCTTGATTTTATATATAATGTATTATCATTTGATTTTTTGTTGATTAGTATTGTTTTTTTTCTCAAATTTTCTGTTGCAGCCCAATGATGGAAAAAATTGTTAATAGTGAGGGGATTGACAGGGTTTAAAATTCAACGGTTGCCTTTGCACTTCACCGGAAAAATTAGCCGCCACCCACCTCTGTCCAGGCAATCCCTTTGCGCCGCTCCTGATCTGATCTTGAAGCCTTGCCTCCATGGTTAGACTCGCTGCTAAAGCCTTCCCTCATTTTCCCCTGCTGAAAATCCTCCCTCGGCGGCTCCGCCCTTTTGTTTATGTTCTTTACTCCGGGAAAATTGCTTGAGTTTATACACACACATACACACACACTGGTGCATGGCTTGGCTGGTTTTTTTGTCGGTGATCTGTAAAAGGCATCTGTTGAATTACCCGTCAAATTCCGTCTATGATTCATTGAAGCCATGAGATCTGAGGGCTTCTTATGAAATATGTTTGAAATTTTTTGCATTTTTGGGATATTTATTGCTTTAGTTTCTTATTTAGTTGTGGTGGCTTTCAAGCATTTGATTCTTTTTAGTTTTTTATATAATTGAGATTATTTATTCTTTTCATGTATATCTATTAAATAATTCTTGATTTTTGCCCCGTGACAAAAATTTTGTGGCAAAAGAGCAGTTCTTTTGGTTGCTATTTATTGTTAGCCTTTTGTGGTGCCATTGCCTGATTTCCTCAGGGGAGCAAAGCGTAATTAACCCTTTTTATTTATTCATTCATTTATCCATTCATCCATCCATTGATCCAGATGATCTTCTATCTATCTATCTATCTAGCTGTGATGATAAATCATATCAGAGTTGCCATACAGATGGTACCAAAAGTGCTTGATAAATGTCACTGCTAGTAACCTTAAACTGCCCTTAAACTGCAAATGATGGTTTTTGATTAAATATAGTCCTAAAATAGCTATCAAATCTGAGGACTTTTGATTTTATATCTTGTTGTTCAACATCTATTCAGTTGAACTTTCAGGCTTTAGCTCATAGGTTTTGTGCATAGTATTCATTTATGGGGGATTTAACTAAGTTGTTGTTTTGGAATTTTTGCCCAGTGATTTTACTCAAGCAATAACAATAGAAAGGTTGCTTTTGATTTTCACAATAAGTCTCCCCAGCATCTGGACGTACAGGCTACAGCAGGTTCATCTTATGAATGCAGAATTTGCATTCTTTAAATAGGGGCGGGTACCCGATGACCCGCCCCTATTTTTCGGGTATCCGAGGATCGGGTACCCGAGGACAATCGGAGCGGATTAGGGTCAAAAAAATAGTGACCCGACATCTTAGGGTCGGGTCAGCCTTTTGCCGTTCGGGGCGGGTACCCGACCCGTGCCCACCCCTAGCTGGACGAACTGCCAACCATACTATGGGCTTACCGAACCACTCCCCGAACTGCTACCCAGGAAACTCCTTTTGTTCTAACCTATGGAGCAGAGGCGGTGATCCCTGCGGAGATAGGCGTTCCTTCGGGCAGACTTCAGAATTTCATAGCTCGGGACAACGAGGACGAGCTACGTCTCAATTTGGATCTGCTAGAGGCAAGGAGAGAAGAGGCGGCCATACGTATGGCTAAGTATAAGGGACAGGTCGCGCGGCACTACAATGCTAGGGTGAGGCCAGTGTCCTTCAAACCGGGGGACCTGGTCTTGAGGAAGAACAGTGTGAGTCGGCTTCAGGGCACAGGCAAGCTGGATCCGAATTGGGAAGGTCCTTATGTGGTAAAAGAAGCAGATCGAGCTGGGTACTACAAGTTAACTCACCTCAGCGGGGAAGAGGTCCCGCGTACCTGGCACAATTCCAACTTGAGGATTTTTCGTTAAAACTCGCGCGTTATCAGTTCCTTCCAAGGTCAAGATTTTTCGTTATTATTGATGTACTTGGCTAATAAATTGCTTTGTCTTAGAGAATAGCTCCCTTAGGTCGGCATAGGGCCGAACTGATGTATTTTGTGACGATTTTTGCAATTGAGACTAAGTATGAAGCAAAGGAAAGGCTTTTTCATTTCATTCAATAAAACTGTACAAGAGGGAGCCAAACTCGCGCAAAAGAAATTGCACAGAGGAAGAGCAGAGCTCATACAAAACGAACTGCCTACTGACAGTTCAGATCCTATCCTAAGGCCCTGCTCTAGTTCCCGCCCTGCTCTAGTTCCCGCCCTCTTCTTCCTCTTGCTCGGTTTCAGGAGTGGTCACTGGCAGCTGAGGATCGGCGACCAGGTCGGCCAACTTCCGTCCACGCGTGTAGCCCTCTACCAGGCGGTCGAGCTGCTCCACGGCCAGGGGGTTGTAGCTGGGAAACTTGCCTAGATCAAACCCAGGCAGACCCAGCTTTTGCACCTCCTCCAGGGCTTGGGAATACCCATGTTGCAGCATTGGGGTATTCAAGATGGCCAGGTCACCCTTAAAATCCTCCGACCTGAGGAAGGCCCGCACGCCCTCTTGGCCTCCCTCAGTCCTAGCCGCCTCGACTTGAGCAGATAGTTCGGCGCTCCTCTTCTGCTCCTCATTCAGCTGAGAGGTCAGATCGGAGTTCTTCTTTAGCTCCAGTTCGAAGTTGGAGTGAGCTTGGGCGAGCTGCTTCCTCAGACCTTCAGCTTCGGCCACAGCTTCTTCGTTCTGGCTGAGCAGTTTCTCGTTGGCCGCCCTCGTCTCGCTCATCAGGGGGAGGAGGCCCTCGTAGCGCTTGTGATAGGGTGTTAATTGTTAGTAATTTTATTGTTAATTCTCCTCTTTATCCTTGCCAAATATTGCTTTAATTGTCAATATATATTTATATTTGGTATTTGGATATAATTTCAGAAATTGGAGCAGAAACCTCTTGAGAAGATTATTGTGAAGCTTTACACAATTTTGGTGCAAACCAACGTAGAAGAATGGAATTGCATTTGGGAATTCAATTTGGCTAGACAACATGTCAAAGTTGGTGGGGACCGCAAATAAGTTGTATTGTCTAAAGTGTGCTTTCTTTGCACATTTGTGATTTTGCTTTCTTGTTGGTGAAAGTGTGCACCTGGTCAAAGAAAACCGACAAACCATAGTTGGCTTTGCTTTTAATTTCGGTGGAGTTGATTAGGTAGGGAAGGAATGTTTTCTTTTGTGAGCATGGAGTGAAGTTTGGAATTGGCTTGTTTTTATTCGGGGGGAGAGCCGCACATTTGGGGAGTTAGTTTTTCTTCTTCTCTTCCGTCTGGGAAGAGGAGTTTTAGTTTTCTCTCCGAGGGATGTTCCGGGGGAGAGAATAAGGAGTTGTTTTGGCTTGTTGAGTTCTAGTGTGCAATTTTCTTATTCTCTTCCGAAAGCTTTGTTATTCACTCTCTCAATTATCGAAGAAAGATGATGTCTTTAAATTCAATTGAATTGTGTGGGAATTTTCTTATGAGGCGTGGCTAATTTTCTCCTCTAGTCAAGGATCAACGCGACGACGCAGTCCCATATATCTGTGAGATCTAATTAATTTTACGTGTTCCTTAATTTGTTAATATTTGCATGTTTTCTGTTTTAATTTCCATGGGATTATTTTGTTAATTGGATATCAAGGGCCCGATGTGCAATTTGACTTTTTAATCTCTTGTCAAATTAATCAATTAAATCCGTAATTGTTTAGTTGATTAATATTAGTGACAATTAGTATTTTCACATACTAGGGGAACATGCAATCTGATTTAAATAACCCTCGTAGCGTGTTATTAATTTGGGCTAGGCTTTTCTAGTTTTTAATGCAATTAGGAAATTAATTCCTACGGTCGTACCTAGGAGTATTTTCTGGTTAGAGGTAATCAACGGTCGTACCTTGGTTATCAATAAATTAAGGAAAAGCTGGTATTTAGAGTTTATCGGCGGCTATAACTAGCCTATTAATTAAATTAAGTGAACCTTCTTTGCATCAATGATCGGATGAATGGACTGTGTCTGCGTAGTTGTATCCTTGGCTAGAATTTATTTATTATTTATTTAATTGTCATTTACATTTGTATTAATTATTTATTTATTTTTTGTTAAATTATTTAATTATTTTTAGTTAAATTGTTTAAGTATTTTTAGTTTATTTCTGATAAAAATCCCCCGTGTCCCGAATTTAAAAAGAATCAAATTTTTTTTCCAGTCCCTGTGGATTCGACCCTGCTTACTACTATACACAGAAAATTTATTTTTCTTAAGCAGGTATTTATTATTGCACAGGCACGACACCTGTCAGCTTGGCCAGCTCGGACCCAACCAAGTTCACTTGGGCCGCGCCTGTGTAATAGTAGTCGAGGAGGTCAGATGCCTCCATGGCCTTAATCAAGCTGTGGTCCCGTGGAAGGATGGCCCCATGAGCAAGCTCCCTGGCCACCTCAGGGAATTGAGCTCGGTCGTTTATGGAAAGCTTCCACTGGGGGCAGAAGTGCATGGGGTGTTGGTGCGTGATCAGCCGCGTCTGCGGGTCGAACAGCAGGGTGGAGCTCTGGCGCTGCCATAAATTAGGAGGAGCGCCAGCACCAGCTTGCTCCTCGGCGGTATTCACGCCGTAGTGACCGCCCTGACCAGGTTTAGGCGTCGACCTCTCTTCCTGAATTGGGGAGGAGGTCGTCTCCACTCTAGTCCTCTTTGCAGTTGTCTTCTTCTTCTTCTTTTTCCCAGCCTCGACAGCCTTGGCGGATTGGGCAGGAGCTGGCTGAGGCGTTGGACCTGGTGCCGAGCTGGCTGGAATGGCTGAGGAGGGCTGGGTAGTAGCACCTGGATTGCTGGCTCCTCCGATGGTTAGAAGGGAAGAAAACCTCTTCACTGCAAAAAACAGAAGACCAGAAGGTCAGTAGATACATAAAACAAAGAGAAGAAAGAAAAGGAAGGCCAGGTCGTTTACAAGAGGTCAGCTCGTCTGGCGAGAGCGGCCTATTCTCTGGCGAGGGATCTGAGGGGTTAGCTCGGATCAGCCCCGCCACCCAAAGCTGGGCATTGCTGAACTCTTTCACCTCCAGCTTCTCGTCTGAGCTGAGTAGGCGGCTGAGCTCGGCTACAGGGAGCGGATCTGGAAGTGGATTCGAAACCTGAGTCTCCGCCCTCCAGGTCAGAGGGGGAAAGCCCAGGTTCTTCACAAAAAAGAAGTAACGCTTCCAGTCTTTGATGGAGGAAGGTGCCCCCGTGAACAGCTCGCGGGTGGGGGTTTTTGCTCCACTTCTACGGGCAAAGTAGAACCACCCGGGCACCTTCCCGCTGACCTTCATCTGGAAGAAGGCTTGGAACAGGTCATGGGAAAAGGGAATTTCTAGTGCTCGGCAGAGGATGAAAAAGCCTATAATGGAGCGAACACCATTTGGGATGACCTGAGTTATGCGGATGCCCCAGAAGGTGAGGATGAAGAAGAAGAAGTTGGGAATAGGCAGGCGGAGGCCAGCCATCAGCTGGTCCCTGTAGATCGCCACGAAACCGGGAGGAGGTCGGCTGGCGACCTCCCCCGGTTGGGCAGCCCTAGGTTCAAACTGGGTTGGGATTTCATATTTTTC